TTTTCAGTACAAATCGGCAATTTCATACTTTAACCCCTATTATTATACATTAATTGATTTATAGTTATCAATTTACCTTGTCTACCGAATTGTCACTGATGACGATACCTTCTTTCAAGAAAATAGAATATTCTCTATAGAATGAATCATATGCTACTGGGTCTTTTTGAGACTGTTCTACCATGAATTTAAGGAAACGATTGGTGAGTATTGTGCGAAGTTTGCTGGAAAATAAAACATACATTTAGGAAAACTTCAGCTTATCTTGCCTAGCAGTGGGAACATCAGCCTCGCGATCAATCCTTAAATGATAAATTTTATCTATTTCCTTTTTAAACATCTAGTACCATTGGCTTAAGAGTTAGTTTGATGTAGTCCAACAAAATATTATTACCAAAGGTACTAGTGCCAGAATAGGGTTTCCTGGGTAGCCATCTCGTGGGGAATAAATACAAATTAGAAGTAATTTAAAATTTGTTAAATAACTTACGTTATTAAAGCACTATTTTGCAGCAATTCTCTGCTAAGATTTAGAGGAATATCTTCTGAGTCAACCACACCTGAAATCAAATGTCTTGTAAGTATAAAATATTGTAGAAATAAATATTTAATTATTGTGTAGATAAATGCATAAATTACCTTTAACAAATCTCATCCACTTAGGAAGAATGTTATCAGCCTTGCTTTTGATCAATATTTTCCGCGAGTATAAAGAGACACCGACGTCAGAATCGCGGGACATTTCAAAGAGCCCTGGCTTTCCTTCAGGTACATAGAGCACAGCTCTAATACTTAATGGGGCATCTGTTTTATAGTGAAGTGTGAAACGGGGCTTATCGTAAGCATTGCTAATAAACTTGTAGAACTCAATATGTTGCTCATTTGTCACTTCTTTCGGCTCCATTAACCATAGGGGCTGCAAATTCAATAGATTGTTACTCTTTTACTATCTTTTAGAACATTTTCATCACATTCCAAAATTTTATTAAAAAGGGACAAACTTAACAGATTATCCTTCAATTACCTTAATTTGGTTAATTTGTTCCTCATTCAGGTATATGGGGCTGCTAATAAAATTGCTATATTTCATAATAATATCTGAAATAAAGAAAGAATCACAATTAAACAAATGTCATATTAAAATTATCATTAATTGTGACTCTGTGCAAAAGGGAATGAATAGATGAGGGTGTCGGGTTTCTTTGCTGTTTGCTGTACATACTTTTGACTCTTTCATCATCAGAGAACTCTCGACAGTCTGTTTTCAGGTGCACAACAATTTTGGTTCCAATTTGTACATTATCTGCTTCTTGAATCTCATACGTGCCAGAACTGGAATATTGAAAACAGATTTATTAGACACTACCTACTGCCCGCGACTTCGTGTGCGTAGAATAAGTACTTAGAGAAGCCTACTGTACCATACTAATTTTCATAGTTTTATTGGGTATTTCACCCGCTATAACATTTATTATTGTGACAAAAGTGCCTTCCCACCAGTTATATCGTTGAATTATACCATTAATAGCTTAAGTGGTACTAACATGTCCCATTTAAAACTGTAATGGTATAGGTGGCATTAGTTTATCCGAGTTATGCCATTGGATATTGATTAATAGTATAAATTGTGCTTGCATGTCACATTTAAAATTGTAATGGTATAGGTGGCATTAGTTTATCCGAGTTATACCATTGGATATTGATTAATAGTATAAATTGGACTGACATGTCCCATTTGCAACACTCATACAAATCTGTTTAGGTTTAAGAGTGTAAAGTAAAACTGTGTTAATGTTTTTGTAGTTATTAAATTTAAAAAAAAAATATAACTGTAATGGTATACGAGTGACAGGTCGAGACCATTTATACCAATGAATTATATCATTGTTAAAATTAAACTACTTTACTGTTAGCATATCTAATGGAGTAAAACTGTATACATTATGTATATAAATAATTAACTGTGTTTGACTACTGCAAGTGGTGGCAACCACAGACTTTATCTATATCTCGATATATGTCTGTAGTGGCAACCTTTAATTGAGTCAACACTTTAGCACTACTCCATTTGAATTAAAATTGTATTGTAATCAAAATTGTATGTATTAAGTGCATGACTTGTTTATTGTCCTAATTAAATAAAATAAAAATACAAAATAAAACCACTTTTAATATAAAAAAAAAACATAATAAATAAGTTGGGAAGTAACTGACTTAAAAACTTTGCTTAAAACGGAATCTTCCCCTAATTTGCCATGCTGTTACTATACGAAAGTTTATGTAATATAATAAACTTTTGGAAAATGGTTTTAAATATTATAATATGATCATATTTTCAGGTAGTTGACAACATTTCAAACTAAGGAAATGAAACTATTTTTCCCGATTTAAATCGCGTATATTAAAATTTGTTTTTTCAAACCGTCAACTTTTGTCAACCGTGACCATGGGACCTGTAAAGGGCCCGAAACGTCGGTTTGTTTGAAAAAACTAATATTCGCGACTTAAATCCGGAAAAATAGTTTCATTTCCTATGTGTAACAATCGCGAAAACCTAAGAACTCGAAACATTTCAAACTATCTATTTCAAATACTACTAAATACTTATATCTAAATAGCATAGATTAAATATTTAAATAAAGATGTTTTAAAATTCATATCACAACTTTCATACAATACACAACCTAAAAAAAATGGCATATCTGGTCCAAAGACCAAAAAGTGGCCTATGTGCTTGTCCTAGGTCTCATCTATCTCTATACCAAATTTGGTTCAGAGGTTTAGACAGAGAACAAATAAGTAACGAGAACGGAAACTCTTCGCCCCTCCGTAGCTTTAGATTCCGCAACACGACCCGCACTTCGACGGTCACATTGACTGAACGAGAACAAGGCTGTAGGCGAGTCGTTTTCGCGCTAAGACGGCTTTGATATTTAAATATAGTTTTCATTTATGCATTACGAAATTTTACGTTCATATACATAACATCATTTTACGTTACTATTTATAATGGTCGTGAATTGTGGCCATAACTTCGTGAGCTAGACAAGCGTTCTCGAATTTTCTATTTCTATTGCCGATAAATATTACGTAGTGAATATACCTAATTATCAACTAGGTAATGATAAACTTGGACACGCAATTTCAGATACTTTGGTTACTTTATTTAAAGGTACCTGTCCAAAACACAACATTTTAAGTGCTTTAATATATTTTTTAAATAAATCTTTAATATTATTCTAGTTAGTGAATTAATGAAAAATATAATATTGTATCGATATAAATACCTACGTAATGAACATGTAATTATTAGGATTCTATTATAGAATTATAGATAACAGATTAGCATTAGAATTTTCGCTATGTTGCCGCTGACTACGTAACGTAATAGTACGAGCAAGTGATGGGCATGGACGTAATAAATAAAATAATACGTCTATGGTGATGGGTAACCCTGCCACTTCACGCACACATTTGCGCGTGTGCAGATAGCGCCTTGCTGTATGTAGTAGAAGTAGAAGGTAAATAATTTTCCGAGTGTCCGAGGTGTGGTTTAGGTGTGAAAACATAACAGACACAATTACATTTGCACTTATAATATTAGGTTATGTCATATTCATATGCCAAACAGGCACCTGGAGATTGAGTTGAGGACACCAACTCGTCACACCATACCATACCATAGTGTACAGGACAGATATAGATTAAATAGATAGATTTAAGTACTTATCATTTATAACCTATTGTAACTTACTAGCTTCATAATTAAAAATATTTATGGTTCGGTCTTTTACTTCGCAATAGATAGATTAAGTAAAATATACAAATTGATAGAAAATATAAATAAAAAAAAGGCAAGCTTATCTTAGAAAAAGATTTCATCAACAGAATAATAATAGAATAGATGTAAAAGGTTAAATAAAACCGCGGCTCTCGTCACGGTATTGCTGAGGTCTAGCTGAGCGGCGGCTCTCGTTGCTCGAGTAGAGGTGGGCGTTTAAGCGGAAAGCACTTTAAAAAGTCTGCTTTTTTAAATAAGCGCATATACACGCTTTTCATTTAAGCGTAAGCGTTGGTCTATGTGCTTTTTTCTAAACGAGCTTTAAGAGCTCTCATGCCAAAAAAATTTTGACGTTGGCTCCGCCCAAATTTGTAAAACAAATTTAAGCTTGAAGTTCGCGTGACATGCGACAGGAGATGTTGAATTTTGCGCATTAAAAGTACCAAATTCGTTTTAGCGGAATAACTCTAAAACTAAAGGGATTAAAAAAAATCACAGACAGTTGTCGATCATGCATAAATATAATTAATTATCTAATTTTTGTCCTAATAACCTGTAGCTGTACTGAAGGGTCCCAAAAATCAAACTCACAACTGTATTTAACCACTCACTTAAACAACTTGATATCTTGACAATCTTACCACCACCCTGACGGATTCCACGGCAAAGCCTTATACAAATCTTGGTAACAACTTGATAGCGCATTTCGAGGATAAATCGAAAAAATGTGAAAATTAGAGGTCATTTCGTGATTTTTATCTATCGAGGAAACTTTATTGTTTTATGTTTCTGATTAATGTCTATGCTTGAATATATCGTGTAGTTACTTATACAATATTTTATTTCTAACTTTAAAGTGGATATACCCCTCTAAAATTAAATCGAAGATTAGGAATTTTTCCTCTGCTCCCTCTTAAGCGTCAAACTAAAAAGCGTGTGAAAAGCGCTTTTACAAGCATGCTTTTTAAACGTACGTTTTAACGTTAAAAAAATAAACAGTTTTTCCCATTTCAACGGTTGACAACTACAAATTTAAAGAACTAATTTTTTTGAATGCTTTTAAACGCCAATGAACAAAATGTTAATATGAATATGTTAAGTGATAAAGGTAAAGGCCCATTTAGATGGAGAGAGTTTCTCGCACGCTTCATGACGAAAACTCGTAGGCGATTATCGTAAGCAATAATCGCCGTAAGATTATCGTATCATAATGTTTACATTCAGGCAATATTAAAATCTCGCCTACGATTATGTCATACGAGATTCGCAAGCAACTTAATCGCCTCCTCGACTGTTTACACAGAGAAATATGTAGTAAGGAGATTCTTGCTCACGAGTTTTCGACTTGTCTAAACACGATATCGTATGACATTTTTTCAAGTTCATACGATTATCGTACAAATCGGTTCGAATCGTTTTGAGTGCGAGAATCGCCATTCGAGTTCAGTGATTACTGCGGTATTGACTATGGACATATCGAAATGACGCAAAAATCATTCAAATTTGGAACTGCTGATAATATTAAGTTTATTGCATTGTCATTGTAGAGAAATATTTTTTTTAATTTTATAACATTTCTTAATCCAAATTTTCTTTTCGTTCTCGTTTCATTAATTCTTGTCTTAGAAAAGCAGTGATAATCAAAACACCCTCGCGCACTGCACTCGTGGTAGAAACGGCTGGCACAGAAACTCGGAATACGATTTTCGCTTTCGAGTTCTGTTTACACGGAGACGTTCAATATTGAAAGGCGAGGCGATTATCGCTCACGTGGACGGTCGATAATCGCAAATGTTTAGACGAGGAAAGTTTTTTATATTCTTTCGATAATCGTATCTTCGAGACGATAAACTCTCTCCATCTAAATGGGCCTTTAGGGATAAAAGGCGCGCGCGACACGGCCAACGCGTTCGACAAGGACTCAATCACTGTCACTCATCCCAGTCGGTTGTGTTCCAGGTACCTGCTCCGCTCGTCCGACCGCTCGCCCGGTCGTGCCCCGCCGTTCGTCCGTCCCGCCGCTGCCGCGACCTACCTGCGCTCACCTGGTCGCACGTGTTCTTTTCAGAACCGGTGCTTCGTTACTAAGTATTTCTTTACTTATTTTACTTTCCGTATTTGTTTTATCGACATTTACTATTTCTCTTTCTTCTCTTTCAGCTTACCTAGTCGTGAGTTATTTTCAGAACGCCGACCGAACTCCCGCGCCAAAAAATCAGACTCCCCGCCCCTAAGGCAATAAAAGCCCAAAATGCAAACTCCCGCCCGTCCTCCGCCCAGGACAGACGCCTCTCCCCCGCGCATCCAAGCAGCACCCGCGCCGACATCTAAAGCCCCCGAACCAGCCCCGCTAATAGTCATCCGCTCAAAGGCCCGTTGGAGGGAACTTTCAAACCGCTGCAATAATCTCGGAATCAACTTCCTGAAAGCCAAGGCGTCCGAGCTTGGCATTAATGTCAAGGTCCAATCGTCGTCGGACCATCGCCACCTTACCTGTCTTTTAAATGATATGAGTGTAGACTACTACACTTACGCGCTCCCCGAGGAACGCGTACTCCGCGTTGTCATCTGCGGGCTCCCGAAGGAGCTAGATACAGAGATCATCGCCGCGGACCTCAAATCTCAAAACCTCCCTGTACATGAGGTTCACCGAATGTACAAAAGCCGTTCCCGTGAACCATACGACATGGTGCTCGCCTTCCCCTCCAAACCCGAAGGTAAGAAGGTCTTCAACCTGACTACCTGCTGCCAACTCACCGGCTTAACCGTTGAGCCTCCGCGCAAACGTGGCATGCCCAACTGTCAACTGTACGGTCACGCGGCCCGTAATTGCCGCTCGCAACCCCGCTACGTAAAATGCGCAGACTCCCACGCGACCTCAGCCTGCCCTAGGCCTAAAGACAGGTCCCAGTGCACCGAGTCATCTCGGTGTGTTCTGTGCAGGGTGTCCCATACCGCGAACTATCGCGGCTGTGCTAAGGCCCCCCGCCCTAACCACAAGGTGGCGGCGCGCACTGCGGCCCATCAGCAGGCTAGGGCACAACCACAGCCACTTATGTCCATCCGCGACTTCCCGGCCATCAGCCCTGCTCTCATAGCCCCACTATCGCCCCAATCTCCGTGGGTCAATCCCTCGCGCCAACGCCCCTGCGCCCCTTGCTCCGAAGCAGGCAAGCCTCATCACCCCCGCGGCCCCTAAGGCAAAACCACAGCCAGCGTCTTCTGCGCATCGACCTACCGCGAACGCTCCACGCCTCCCCGCGCCGATACCACCACCGACTCACTCCCTTAAGGACGACCTGGCCCTCGTGAGCCACTTTGTTAGCACCTTCAACGTTTTCGAAGTTAAAAATCTAGTCACGCTCCTCCGGGCCACCGACGGAAACGGCACCGCGCGTCTTCAAGCCATGTCGGGTTTCAGCTCGCTCGTACAGTCACTAAGCAAATTCTCCGCTTCTTCCTTCTCTCTCTAAATGGATTTATTAACCAGTAGGAGTAGAGTCAAGCACGATCAGTAAAGCTAGGCTTTTTTAACGCGGATGGCTTATCGAGCCAACGCGAGGAAGTCAACGCGAGGAAGTTCGAACCTTCCTCACAGACCACCAACTCGATGTCCTGTTAATTCAAGAAACCTTCTTAAAACCCTCCGCTCGAACCCCCATGTTTGCCAACTATTGATTAAACTCAGGCCTCGGCGGTACCATTATATACTACAAATGTTCACTTCACTGCATCCCTCTCGACCCACCCCCTACAACGTACATCGAGGCATCGACGTGTCGGCTCGGCTTCACCGGCCCACCCACATTTCGGCCTACCTGTCCTCTGATACCTTCCGATCGCTAATTCGCGAAGATCTGCAAGCCCTCTTGTCCCTAGGAGATTCTGTAATTCTGACGTGCGACCTTAACGCCAAAAATACTGCATGGTTTGTAACACCACCAACACGCGCGGTAACACCCTCATGACGCTATCTGAATCCATGCATTTCGATATAATTGCACCCACTATCATCATGACATCCTAGACGTAGCTTTATTCAAAAATATTGACCTTAGATTAGACTCAATCCAGGTCGTTCATGAATTAGTTTTGGATCACCGCCCTGTCCTCCTTCACCTCTCCCCTCGTTCGGACATAGCTCCCCTGAACCTTGCGCCCCCGTTAAATCGGTGTTGGACTGGGGGAAGTTGAATCATGACTTCACTTTCCTAGTCTGAACAGTCCAGCGCCCGCCCGCAACAGCAACTATAGGAAAGAAGACCTCAACAGTACCGTACGAAGCTGCAATACGGCTGTAACCAGCATTTGCATTTCGACTCTCGCCGTCCCGGAGCGTAAAGAACCACCAGCTCAGTGGCGGTAAAACTCCCGTGCCGTACACATTGGTATTTTGTACAATAACATTTGGTGGTATTAAATAAATAGTATTAGTTTTGTGGTTTTTCCTTAACCATGCCACATGATCAAGCAAGTTAATGAGTTACGGCCTCAAAGAGAAAATTATACTTTATTACATTTGCAAAGAAGTAAATGTCTACTAACCCATCAGAACTCCACTTATAACCTAGAGATCCAGTCTTACTGCTCTTAGTAAACACTTCAATCTTTTCAGCTACCATGAAGGCTGAATAAAATCCCACTCCAAATTGACCAATGATGCTATTTGCATCACTGGCTCCTGTTTTCTTCACTTCCTCAATGAAAGATTTAGATCCTGAACGAGCTATGGTGCCCAAGTTTTGAACCAGTTCTTCTTTGGTCATACCAATACCGGAGTCCTTTTTGTAACAGAAAAAAATGTTTAAAGGGGTTTGTTAAATACTGTTATGACACTGCAACATTAAGTGAGATTTAACAGAACTGCCGGCCCAAACAAGATGTCAACAGGTGTCAACAGGTTTGTTTCTAAATCATGTCATAGGATTAGATTAAAAATAGGGCTGCCAATACCAAGCCACCCGTGTTGTCGGGTTGGCGGGTTCGATCCATAGAAAAAAAAATATTTATAATGCATATAAATAATCTTTCAGAAGTGATTGTACAAATTCAAAATATGTACCTGGAATATAATAGTTCGATTTTGCTTATCTGTGGTTAAACGAATTTCCAATGGCCGATCAGTTTCTTGCAGCTGGCCAGCATCAGGAGCTGAGCTGACTGTTAGGTACCGGAATTTTTCCAGAGCATCACTGGCATTTGATATTAGCTCTCTGATGAATACCTGAAAAATTAGTTCGCAATTTAACATATATTAGAAACACATTAAAATGCAATAGCGTCTCAAATATACTGTCAATATTGTTATGCTTTCTATTAATTCAATAGTTATACATCAAAAGTCTATCTTTGGTTTAACAACTTACTTCTTTATCAGAGTACAAAGACCTCGCAACAATATCAAGTAGCATACGAGTTTCAGCCTGAAATTCTTTTTTTTCTGATTCACCCTTCACAATTTCGGTCTGTCTTTGTTGAGTGCTTGTTAGTTTCTCTTCAGTGTCCACCTGTTTTTCTTCAGGGACGGCTGCTGTAGCTTCAGTGCTGTACTGTTTTATTGCATTAGAATTACCTGCAAAGGATGTGTAGTTTGTACTAATATCATAGGTTTACACACAACCCAATAAATTATATGACATACCATACCTGATAGTTTGATTACTTCAAATGAAGTGATTCCACGATTAACCGATTCAATATTATGTCTCAAAAATTTTGAATATTTGTTCGCCGACTGCAAAAATAACCTTCTTGCGCATAATGTTGAAGTACCCAGTTTAGCACGTAGCGCTGCCATTATTTCGATTTGAAACTATGGAATCACTAAATTTCCCCCTGAAGTGTATTGAAAGCTTTCAGTCGATTTCTTATTTGAAGAAGGCTTTATAATTCGCGAACGCGAAAACTGAAACAACAAAAGTGATAAAATGCAAGAGTCCCTATATTGCCCAACAACGTAATGTACGACACAGTAATGCTCGGCACGAGAATTGTCGAAAATGTCGACTCCCTATATTGCCCAACAACGTAATCACAAACTAATAAGAGATACTACGTAACGTAATGTACGACACAGTAATGCACGACACGAGAATGTCCACCCCAGAATCCGATGCATACGGCCTCTGATTGGCTGCGTGATCTATATTCCTATTGGTGGAATCTGTCTGACAATTCACGAAAAGAAATGAGTCGTGTTCACAATGAAGCTCAAATTGAGCTCAAAGCAAGCATCAAACGTCAAAAATTATAACCTTTGCGATAATGTTATTTTTCGATATTTTCAAATTTTTTAGTAAAAGAAATGTCCGACAACTTCAAGTGAAACTTGACGGTTTTGGTGCGTTGACTGTGGAAGGTAAATCCGTGTGAAAAAGAGGTAAAAAATCAGAGAAAACGCTTGAATCCATTATTGTTTTACACAACGATATCCAGGTATTATCGTGTTCTACACGAAACAATACAAGAGCCTTTGGATCAAACGGCCCTTTGAGCAAAAGAAAATACAATAACTATATTTTCTCAGAATAGAAGAAGTGAAAAACGTAAGTTATTAAGTAGGTATGCAAAATTAATTAGTAATTATTCGTCATTATCATCATCAGCCTATCCATTTCAAGTTCTCCACTGTTGAAGCACCTGCCTCCCCTCAGACGTGGAAGTTAAAATATAATTCTTCAGCGCAGGTTGATGGATTTTACATGCCTTTAATAGCTTGTGATGTTTTCTGATACCACCAGAGCAGTCAAATGTACACTCAGATTGTCTGTTAAAAAGTATATCAGAAAACGCATTTTTAGATACCCAGACAGATCTCTCTACATATCTATAGGTGTAATACAATAATTATAAACAATACAAACTCAAAATGAAAACCTAACCTCAATATGGCAACTAAAGTGTGAGTACTAGTGTTTTTTTAATTGTTTCAGGCATTCTAGACATTTTCTTCTTCCTCACTACTGTACTGCAGCACAAGCTAAAGCTGCACCTAGATGAGCACCAGAATTATTAAGTGCATCTACTTCCATTTAATGGCAAACTGCCCTAACATCAGTTATTATTGAAGTGCACTAACTAGGAAGCTGCAAGCATACCAAGTATTACCAAGATCTCGAAAGCACAATGGCCATTGATTATTTTGAGTGAATAAGAGAACTGTGAAATAGTGTTAGTAATGTGGGGCGAGGACCTATACCCACACATTTGTTTAATCTATGTGGATGTTGCATACATAGATTTAGTATATAGGTACCCATAGATTGGCAATGCAAGTGAAAGAGAGTTAGTATACACGTATGTTAGAACGAGATGGGTAGACGAGACCACTTCATTATAAGCTATGAGGCTATATGAACCTAGGGTCAGCTGACAACGAAACAAATTTCGTTTATTTTTGAAAAATAATTGGTTTTAAAATGTGAAATAGTGTTAAAGGGACGTTTATTAGTCATTGTAAAGTTTTCAGTGTCCGGATGTAACTTATCTAAAAAGGAAAACTCGCAGAATTGTACATTTCACATGTAAGTACTATTTAAATTTTTAGCTGTCTAAAAGCACTACCACAAAAGTTTTTTACTTAAATATATCCGTAAAATTATACCATTCAAGTGCATTAATAACCCAAATGTATACGAATTCAATTAAAAAATATATCAAATACGTGAATTTCTGAAATTCATAACCCCACTTTCATAGAGATTGACGCAATCGATAATATGTTATCGAGATGTCATTAACTGAAAAAAAGAAAGGCAAAGGCGTGACTTGCATACAGCCGAAATCATCTTCATACTTAATTTTTTTTATTTATTGAATCAGAAATTTCTGGATTTAGTACTTTATATTGAATTAATATTGCATTAGTACATTATATTTTGTTTACATTAAAACGAAAATTTCTTTTAATAGCATAGTTGAGGCACCCATTTTTTATGTTAATTATTGTTGTTGATTCAGATTTCCTCAAAACATTGAAGTACGACAGAAATGGCTTATAAAGCTAAAGAAAGAAGACTTTCCAAAAAGTTTTCAAAAATATGCAGCAAACAAACACTTTGAGGAAAAATGCTTTTAAACAAAACGCCTTTAGAGGCAAGCAAAGAGTAAAGCTACGTTCTGGTTCTGTACCCACATTATTCATGCGGTATGTCTTACAATTAATTGATTTTTGTGTAGCACTACTCTCATCAACAAGAAATCAGCGATTTATTGTTGTTAGAGTTCTGTTCTGTTCCAAAATACGATACTGATTTTTTTCAAATTTGGTACACATATTCATTTGTGTGACCAAAACGTGCAACGTAAATAAATTAATTCTAAATTTTTAAGTCACTATTGGGAGGGAAAGTTCTTAAGAATATATATTTTTTGTAATTATGAAATATAAATATTTTTAAGTTGTTTAAGAAAATAGACAAAAATTGATCATTCTACCCTTTATCTTCGAAACTACAGAGCCTAAAGTTTTGAAAAAATACAGAAATTGTCTTTAAATTTCCTACTATTGCGCGAATAAACCTATATTTGCTGTTGGAATCTATTGGAGAACATATTCTTCAACTACAATGTTAAGTTTGTACCGAAACCTCTCCGCGCAAGTTGAACTCGCACTTGGCCGGTTTTTTGGTTCTATTACTTATCTGCAAATTCACTGCTGTGATACACTTCTATGTTATCATATCATACAATAATTATAATAGTTATATTTGTTTGTAGGTTGCGGTCGTCAGCTTGGTTCGTGGCCTCCATACTATCGCGCCGTAACTGATCATGGGTCTTATCACCATTTTGTAGAGCCATAGTGTTGTCTTGGGTGAAAGTCCCCATTGTTTACCTACCATCCTGTGGCACTACCAGAAGGTGATAGTAGCTTTCTTAATTTTCTATTGAATCATTAATTAACTAGTTAATTAACGTCTCGGTATTTTGCGTTAAGACATTTTGGTGAATACAACGAAGTGAAATGCCGGTGTAATATGTTAATCGATATTAAAGTTAAATCAGTGGATGGCGCAACACTATTTATCTTGCACACATGCACATTATACGCACACAGATGTATTTTTGTTTTGGTCTCGTCTCCAATACGTCAGGGCCAATCTATGGATATACTAAATCTATGGTTGCATATGTACTTAAAATATAATAATAATATGTAACAAAACTATTTAAATTCTATTCTGGTAGTTTACAAATAGTTTTATATTGAACGTCTGGGTACGCAAGAGGTGATAATGAATAATAAACAGCTAAAATATATGAGAATTTTCATTTATTTTTCACACAACATAAAAATCAGGTGTTGCAATAGTCACTTAGGTAGCGACTCAGCAGGCTCATGTTAACTTTAATTTAAAATATTCTATTGAAGCAAATAATTTGTATTATTTGATACTATAATCGCATTGTATATACACAAAGGTTTTTATTTTGTTTTAGCTCATTCTTGAGACGTCACTTGTCAACCAACTCATGTTCCATGTCTGTGAATAAATACATTGTTTACTCTAAATGTAATTCTGTGCTTTATATAATGTATCTGCTGCACCTGAGTATAACAGTTACGCTGACTCTGACTTTGCAGGCAATAGTGGTCGGTGTTCCTACTCAGGATCATCATTCCTTATTCAAGGAGGAGCTGTTTCGTGGCAGAGCACAAAACAACATATGAAACAAATAATTTGTATTATTTGATACTATAATCCCATTCTTCTTTTAAATGTTATGGCCCCATCGAAATAATCAATGATTTTGCCAATGTCAAGTAAAAATAACTATGTACGGTAGTTTAACATTATTATAAAAATTATACAAAAAAAATGGCGATTTCGTCAATGTTCTGTGATTTTTATAGTCCCATTGTATATGGTACTTGGTGTAACGGGCTGGTGTCCGCAACTCGACGTCAAGGCGCCTATTTTACCATTGTATACATTGACTTATGATTGTATATAAACAAAGGTTTTTACTTTATGTTTACAGGGTCCGCCCCAAAAGTATCGAACATTTTTCAGGAAAAATACTTTTATTGAACTTATCGGTACCATACATTAGTACTCTTCAAAATAACACCCTTCAGCATCGATGCACTTTTGTAGGCGAGTTTTCCATGCCCGGAAGGCCCCCTGGAAGACGTCAACGGGTAGGTCCTTCAGCGCCCTCGTCGTAGCTTCTTGGATGTCCTTAATTTTGTCCTTAATTGCAACTCCTCGGTCACGATGCGATGCACGGTCGACTTGGCGATGTTGAGGGTCTGTGCTATCAACCGCACTCCTTGACGACGATCCTCGTTGAGAAGCTGACGCACACGGTCAACGTTCTCGTCGGTCCGCGATGTTGAAGGACGACCAGAGCGGGCTTCGTCGGTCACCTCTTCCCTTCCGTCACGGAACATCTTGTGCCACTTCCTGACCGAGGATTCGGACAAGGCTTTGTCCTTGAAGGCCTGTTTAATCATCTCGTTGGTTTCCACAGTATTTTTGCCGAGTAGAACACAAAATTTCACTGCGTACCTCTGTTCTAACGGATCCGTCATCGCGCTACTTTTAAAAACTTCGACGAGGTGTCGTTTAGAGCTCTACGCGAACGCACGTCCTGCCGCTCCAGGTGCTCGGAGCCAACTGGGACCGGTCGCGCTGTATCGGCTAGATCCCCCCACCACTTTCTGTTGCCAAGCGGAGCGCTTCCCGCCGTTCGGCAACACTCCCAAAAAAAATGTTCGATACTTTTGGGACGGACCAGATATGTCACTCTTGTCAAGTAACTCATGTTCCGTGTCTGTGGATAAATACGTAGTTTACTGTCTGTGGCTAAATGTGTAGTTTAAACGTAATTCTGTGCTTTTTAAAATGTATCTGCTGCACCCGAGTGTAACATTCTTCACAAACCTAAC